AAATTAACATGTACTTATTAATAACATTTGTTTATGTGTGATACATAAGTATGTTTATAATTCACGCGTACGCATAAGCGATATATGTGTATATTGCAAGATTAACAATAAGATGATAACAAATTGAAATCAACTGTAATAAATGTTTTATCTAACGAAGTATACCTTGTGGTTTCAGGGAACAATTTGTTTCATTAATTAATAAACAAATTAAATATTTCGTAGGTACTATTTTATAATCAGGAGAATCTTCGTATATTGCAAAATCTATTCGATCGGTACGAACAATTGTTGTCATGTTGATTTAATATACGAGTATGTAATAATATCCTATCAGAGAGTGATTACCGTCGCCGTCGGATCATTTTTGGTTAAGATATATTAAAAATATCAATAGTACATTGTTTATGCCTTTATGCCAATAAACAATATGCGCTTCAAAGATTTTAAAATAAAATGTTTTAAAACGTTATTAAATAAAAAAGAACCACAATAGAAACGTTTCCTAAATCAGCATAAAAATTTTAAAGAATTCTTTAAAAAATAACGTTACGTTGATATTGTTACGTGCCTTTTAACATAGGGCATGATCTCTCGAATAAGATTAAACGATAAAAAGTTTCAGAATATTGTTGCATAATGCTAGGCAACGATTAATAAATTCTTATATATATATATAATCTATTCCACTCAATGACACTACTATAACGATATTGCGATTAGAACATAGACAAAGGATTTATTGAATAATTCATGAATGATAACGCACTTTGAATAAAAATTCCTCGCGGTATACTCGTTTGTCACATACATCGCCACATGTACGTCCAACATTGTAAAAAGTCAAGACCATCAACTCGCTCGTGGTCGATCAGTGTCATATTGTCATTACGGGCACAATTATGTGATAATTTAAGAAGCCTATTGTAAAAAATACTTTGTTAATTACATAGTTAATGCATTGATAACGTGAGAATTTGTCGTCCAAATAATAATCCCTTTCTCCACAATGCGACTTTTCAAATATTTTTTAAAAATATTTTTGTTTATATTTTTCTGGAGAATATAATATACGGCGATAATAACTGTGTGTAAATTATTATCTAGATCTAACTGTAAATTACTGTCCAGATCTAACAGACACGAGTATCACTCGTAAGGCGCCGAATACATTCCAAATCTAATAAACGCGAGTCTCACTTGTGGCGCTCATATAGCAATGTCAAGTGGTTAAACAAGTCAGTTTTAGTGCGCGCTTTCATCAGAGAAAACACAAGACAAACCGTATGACTTTGAAGTTAATGCATATTTTCATCTATATCGATAATACGGACAAGTACCGATAACGATCCAGAAGATATATATAATTTTTATGTGCTATGCTACTTTAACGTGAACAACAATTTCATTCCCGAGAAATAGAATCTGTTATCGGTGTAATAAACGCATCACTGTGTGTGTATTCTTTATCGATAAATAGAGCGTGTTCGTCTAATACTCTAATAGATCTTGTGAAAAGAACGTCGAGTCACATCAATGAACCGTTAAGAATTATACACACGGATTTTAAAGTGAAAATTTCTAGTTTATTAAAATAGATGCATAAAAGGTGATTACAATTTCGCTGCACAGACATATTAATATATCTGGAAATATGTCTTCTCCTGATGAAGAATGTAGCCATTTCATTCCGGTAAGTAGGTCAACGAACCTTTCGAACTTCGCTTCCTGTTTTGTAACATATGATCAAGTGCATTCCGATAGCTTGCTGTACCTTTCGTCAAAGACTTCACTCTTATGCATATTTACATATTTTTATCTAAACCGAAATATCAGATTTATAAAATAATTGTTTACTACTTTTTTACTACTCCAACCGGAGCTGTGTTTCAAATCTGACAAATTTAGTCGGCGCGCAGTCAAGATTGGAAAATATCTAAAATAAAAATAAAAAATAAAAACTTTCGCGCATCATTTACCGCGCTTGGTTCTAAGTTAGCCCGTTTGTTTGTAAGAAAAGTAACGATCTAATCCTGTTTATACGACAAATTTCGACATATTTTGAATGCACATTTTCCCCCTGAATCCTATCAAAAATTGTAAATCGCTAAAGTGAACTTGATATCATAAATAAATGTCCAAATAAAGCACAATAGATAGATGTCAAATGTATAATCAAATAAGATCTGCACTCAGGATCGACATCATACTTTGATCTTTTCCGCACTATTTGTTGCGCTTATTGCACTTTAATGAGGTGTAATAATCTTATACGATTACAAGCGATAATGAGATCTAATAATCTCGTGATTATAGGTAATAATGGCAATGCAATCGTCGTCTGCGAATTTGCTTCGGTTTTTTATTGCGATTTTATTGCGATAAACGCGTGGTGATCACAAAGTTTGACGTAGCTGAATATCGCACAAATTTTCCATCTCGCCGAGAATTGATCGGTCTCACGAGCGAATGGTATTGCCGACCGACCGGCCTCGGAGATCGGCGCGTTGTGACGTGCACGCGATACCGTAGTGACGATTTAATCTTCTTACGCAAGCGCTAAGAGTTCCGTGATAGTGATAACATTCTCATGCTGTATTACGTACAGGCTTACTGTCTTATGAAGTTGTGTTTAATTACTTTTAATTTGTATGCATATGTGTGTGCATGACTCTGTCGATCCTAAAATACCAACCACAGAACCAGGGTTAATAGATTAATAGAATGTTAATTTAACCATGAACCATATGCATCTGACGCAATGTTCTTTTGTTACAATTAAACGGTATTAGCACTATCATTATTAAAACGTGTTCTTTAATGACGTACATATCAAGACATGTTTTAATTTGAAATCCTACAATGAATCATAGTACTTTAAGAAGAATATAATAATTATTTATAATTGTATTTAATATTAGTTTATCCAAGTGTATTTATAATAAAACATTAAATAATATACATATATAACAATATATATTTTTTAAACAAATGTATAAATTTATGTAAAGATAAAATAAAAAATTGTAATTTTTAATTTATTTAAGATATAAGATCTATTTTAAAGATATCTATACATCGTTATTGAAAACTGTCAACTATAGTAAATTGTCGATAAACATTAATGAAGTGCTATGATATGCATAACAATAATTTATTATGTGACTTCTAAATTATTTCCGGTCTTATTTGTGTTCTGCTCGTCTTGGCAGTAACTTGCGTAATTTCTTCGAACGGGATCTATGTATATAGGTCACCGTCAAATTAAATGAGCTCAGAAAAGAAGAAAACAACTCGCAAATTTATTAAACCCATCTATAAATATCTTCTGCAATTAATGCTGCTCGTATGCAAATGTCGCTGATATTAAGCGAAATATTACATCTCGTGTTAATTACGTTTGCGATTGTATTGAGATCTGTTCTGCAAGTGTTAACTTTGTTTGCTTATGATGTCTCGCGATAACAGCGATATTGTCATTTGTAGGAGACTAAAAACGACGTCACATTCGTTGTTGTTATGAAATGTCGTTATCACTTTCGGTGCTTGAAACATTGTAATTATACATATATGAAATTATGTACTATATATAAATTTAGAAAAATAGAATTGATAATTTTTTTTCCATAATATACAAATTTCAATATTCTCGTATATATACGCCATAATTTTTATCTAAATATAGCACCAAGGGCGTCATTTAAATTATTCATGTTTCAAGATGGCATTGATCACAATGCATAATTTACAAATATATGTTAATTGCTTATATAAACTGTATTTCTTAATGAGTGTCCATCTCAGGAATCGATAAGTTAACGGGGTATTATAAAAATTACGTCACGATAACTCCAATATGTATATCTCGTTCGAGGAAGTTACGCAAGTTACTGTCAAGACGAGCGGAGCACAAATACGACCGGAAAGAATTTAGAAGTCATACAATAAATTTGTAAGGCGCAGAATCAATCGAAGCGTGAAGTTATATTGAAGTCTCACACCGATTGCTAATTAGCCTTTCACTTTGACTGGATTTGACAAACAGATGTTTCAGATTAAGTATTCACGTGCTTAGTTTTATGACGTGTTACAAATTTTATTTGCTACGGATAAACAACGTATATAAAGATTTTAATTAGCGCGTCACATTCCCTAATATCCATTATTGAATAATTTAAGCAAGTAAGAGAGATATTTTGTCTTACAATTAATCAGACTGGAATGATTAAATTTGTCAGAACTTTATATAATTGTTATTAAAATGTAATTAATTATATAAATATATATGTAATTTTTAAGAATATAATTCATTGCTTCAAAAATTATTGAACTGCTTAATCCAACATACACAATATCCGCATATAATAGATTTAACGAAAGAAGATATAACATCGCGAAATAAATACAAAGAAGATATATATAGCTATGCTTGTTATTAGTATATACACTGTAAAAAAATTCTGTAAAATTACAACTATTATAGTGGGTAATTTTGAGACCCACTATAATAGTTGTAATTTTACAAAATTACAGTACGGAAGGAAAAAGTAATTTTGTATTACAATTACACAAATTAAGAATGTGTGGAAATTTACACCTATTATAGTGGGTCTCAAATTACCCACTATAATAGTTGTAAATTTTACACAAATTTTTTACAGTGTACTTATTGTAATCAGCTTCTCTTACGTTCTCTTTTTTTTATGTAACAGAATTATATGCATTTCATTTTTCTTTATTCTCTGTCAGTCAGATCATTCTTGCGATAATATGATAAATTACGCTACCATTGTTGTCACTGTTATTGTCAATTACTCTGCCTGATTAAACATTATCACGCAGATTTGCGACCCGTCAATTATCAATAATCTTTCGATTGTCTTGTTAATCGCCTCTTTATCAGTACGGAATTCTCAGTAACAGCAATGTAATGTTGGATATGTATATGTATATTTGACATTCGCGCGAGCATCGTTCAGCTCCGATATGGCAGATCATCACGCGGGCGGCGCAAATGGTCCCGGAGTGGAGAAACGTGGCCGGGTGGCAGTAGATAGATAAATTCTGTGCGTCGTCCTCAGTCAATAACGAGTTCTCAGTTAGTACTGGTCACAATCGCGGCTACATCGGAAGCTTACAACTCGAGAGGCTCACGGATGTCGGAATATATCGGGCGAGAATTTCCTCGCGGCATACACACAAAGAAAAATACTCCCAACTATTTATTAAAAGAAGATCAATCGTGCGGCGAAAAGAGAGAGACTTGACATATTTATAAAAATCTCAAACTTAATACGATAAAGAGAGATGATCGCTCGGACTGAATATTAAACGGACATTCGACGCGTACTTTCTCAGATCTGAAAATAAAACGGATCGGAAAACGGAAACTATTTCTTAGAATTTTCCGGAGCAATCTGGTGAATATCTCAAAGACTTCGTTTGAAACAATAAAATCGCTGATCGTAAATTAGATACGTTTGTCATATAATCGAAGACGCAATCTCAAACGCGGATCATAATTTTCCGCAAGAAACATTATCGATAATAATACGAACAGATAATTCTGCAGAATAAACAATTTCGTGCAAATCAGTATTTGTTATATGCACTATCGGTATTTTTTATACAACATTATTATATCTGGACAAAGAAGACTGAGAGTGAAGGAGACGCGATCTCGTATCTAAAACTCGCCGCATGTCTGGACGGGACGACAGTTAATTTATTTCAAGCCATTCAACGCTTTCGCATCTTTGCAACAGTCGAATTTCAAATCATTTCACGCTTTCGTATCTTTTAAATATTCAGCTATGCAAGTGGTCGATGAATGATGATGAAGATTTAAAGTACTTTGCGATACGATATCGAGCGTATTATCAAGTATATAAATACAGAATCGACTATTGTAAAGATATATAAACGATTGAACCGCGGAAGAAAGAGAATGAGAAGAGGTGACGCTGATAAAGAAGACAAAAAGGATTAACACTCTTTTCTAAAATTGCAAATTAGGTTCTTTTGCAAAAAAAGTCACCACATAGGTTACTATTATTGTATTATTATTTGATTGACACGGTTAATTATCGGAAAATAAAATATTAAAAAGAAAAAGACACCATGACGAACACGTCGGACGTTAATACCGCGAACGGACGAACAGACGTCAATAATGCGAATGAACGAATGGACGTTAATAATACAAATAAACAAATAGATACTAACAATATAAATGAACAAAAAGATAATACTGTGAACGAGCACGTTAATGGTGAGAGTAGACAAACCGATGTTAACAATATGAGTGAGCGCGCATCGGCGTGCGTAGAGATCAAGGTATGTACATATATTTCCGGCAAAATATGTAATATAAACTCAAATTTTGAATTATTACACATTTATTACAAATTTGTAAATAATAAATTTTTTTCTAAATTTCGATATATCGTCTTTTGTGTCTAAAATTATTGCATTTTAGTACATCTCATATTTTTCCGTCTTTAAAAAAAAAAATAATACTCTACGTTTAATCTTTTGTTAATTCTCATTGCTAGAAAAAAATTTTATGTAAAAATCTGGTTGAAAACCAGTTAAAATTGATTCTTGCTCTTTCTTTTCAAGTTTTTTCCATCACATAATCGCACTCATTTAGAGAGGGCTTATTATGATTACGTTTATCAGGTCTTTTTCCCCGGATTTCCTCTTTGTCTTCCTTTCTTTTAACTCTAGAAATATATCTCTAAATATTAGTTAGTCATTTCCCGAATCGCGATAACGATTCAGAATTTATCAACCTTAGTACTGTTTTAATCTTCATTTTCCTAACATTATCAAGCAGTCCATATAATAAATTATACTACGAGAAACATTAATAGTCGTTACGTGTAAACATTCTTTTATGCATTTAAAAACGTTTAACTATATTTAAAATCGTCAAATCTGTCAGTTTTTATTCTTATTCCTAGTAGATAGATCATGTGTTACGATTAGAAGAAAAACGCAACAAAAATCAGTTCTGATATATTATAATTTAAAATGTATATTTCAGCTCTAAAAATTACATATATTACGGAAATGCGATAACGATTAAATCGATAATAAACGATTAATACTCTGTTAATCTTTTTTTTGCAGGTAGAACCCAGCGTCACCGATGAAAAAAAGTGGGAACGAGCCGGAACAACCTATCAGGTACGATAACATTTTTTTACATGTTTGTAGAAACAATTCGCGCATAATTCTTTTTTTAATGGATTACTTTCCATAAGAGGCGATGCTTAAGCGACTGAATATATTATATTGTATACTCGTGGATAATAATATTACTTATCAAATCTAAGCGTTGACATAAATTCGAGCATAAATTATTTCTTAGAATAACCAGCGTATTTCGTTGACAAAATTGCTAATTATTATCTCATTAATCTACATTGAAAACAAATAATTCGTAAATACTATAGTTAATTATTTGTACAAATTATTACTCAATTAATTTGTTTTCGCGCGGATAAAGTGATACTAAACACGCGTTCGATATGCTTTGGCAATTGAGATATGCACACGATTTTCCAATAAACATCACAATTTTTTTTCTCTGCAATTTTTAAGATATTATATCTCGGTAATGATACATCCGATACATCCGAGTTTGTTTATTGCGCGTTCTTTGATCTTTTGTCGAATAATCATGTAATTAAAATGTAGTAATAAAAATGAAAATAAAATGTAAATTAAATGACGAAATAAAAACAGGATGTGTAGTGTTTAGTCAAACAGATTTCCTCAAGTTAATTCGTTTTTATTCATAATAAATTATGTAGATTGTTAGGAAACATTTATATAACTCACGAGCGATTCTTAATCGCAAAAAAGATCGCAAACGTCGTCGTGTTAACCTTGCAGCAGCAATTGTCAGTTACAGATTCGAAGATGAAAAATACGAGAGCAACGATAATTATCTCAGTTTCATTCACGCAAGAAAGACTTTGCTTATTTCAATTCTCAGTTGCACTGTTATCTATATTTACTCTTTTTTCAACATATCTATCGATGGGATGGCATACGCTGTTTCACTTTGCACAAAGTAACGATATTTTTTAAAAGAATTTCAATTTCCATTTCTGCACGATTCTCGCATAAGTGAAGCTTATTCTCGGACGCAATAAAGATGCATTATATTATGTATTTTTCGCTTATCTCTGACGTCGCAAAAATTCCAAATCTTGAGATCAGCAATGATAAGATATATGCTATCTACGTTTATAAGATTTTTAATTCGATAGTTATCTTGATATCTTGAAAAATTTATGAGAGAGGGGCGCTATATGTATTACATTGCGTTCAGCCTTTAAGTTGACAATGAGTAAAACTCTATGATTTTATCGCGAGATTTTAAGATGTATTTAATTGCTGGCTACACACCTTCTTTCGTCTCCATGATCATTCAATAAACCGGTTCTATTATTATTCACGTACGTAATAGCTGCAGTGTTTGACTCGATAAGAAAATTGCTCAGATAAAAAATTTCGATGCCTGATTGATATGTGCTTTATTATTTAACCTTAGCCTTTGGTGGTAAGATAACTGCACTACCTCCCGTATTGCTGTTATCTCTTTACTGCGTGTTTTTCGCGTCGTGTTTCGTAGCTATAAATAAGTCTAGTTATAAATTTTCCGCTCCGCCGAGAAGTTTATCAAGGTTTTACCCCTCACTGAGAATACAAATATTTATCCTGTAGTTTTTTCGCGTTGCCACTCTTACGTCATTGTTACGATTTCCCGATATCGCCGACTCTTCGCTGATTCGCAGCCTCTCTTTTACAGGTGTTGATGGCCTTGTGCGCCAATGTTGTCGTACTGGGTCCAGCAATGGGTTTCGGTTACAGCGCCGTAGCAGAACCCGCGATGAGAGAGCCGAAAACCGATGATGACATACGACTCGATGCTAATCAAGCTAATTGGATGGGTTAGTGTCATAAAAAATTCATTCCTTCAACGAATTCTTTGCAATATCAATTTGCAATATTAAAAATAAATGTTCATCATCATATCGTTTATCGTAAAAATTATTATTTGCGCAACAGCTACTGTATCGGCGCTGGGTACACCTATCGGCTGTCTACTCTCGAGCCTCGTGATGGGGCGAGGAAGAAAGATCAGCATGTTCGTGACGTCGTTGATCTCAATGGCGGGTTGGGTGACTATTTACACGTCGAATAGTTACATGCAGATCTTGATCGGGAGATCGATTTCTGGAATATCCACGGGTATGGCATCGGTTCCAACGACAGTGTATGTAGCGGAAATAGCGGGACCGAAATGGCGAGGCACGATGGTTACATGGACCAGTATTTCTATCGCTCTCGGTGTCCTCATTGTCTATATCTTCGGATCTATTGTTAAGGTAAATGTTCATATAGTACACGTATACAATATAAATGATAATACATAGTCCTATTGTTTTTTTGTGTTTTTCAAAGGATGACTGGCGACTGGTGGCCTTACTGTGCGCTCTATTCCCGCTGTGCGCGATCGCCCTCACTTTGCTGGTGGTACCCGAGACTCCTCTGTGGCTGCGGGATCAAAATCGGCCTGAGGAAGCGCTGGAGATCATGAAAAAATTCCGCGGAATACCAAAGGACCAACCAGCACCGGCGGAAGTTCTGTTAGAGTTGAAACCACGGGTGCAGAAGAAGAATCAGAACATGCTGAAGCATTTGCTGAAAAGGGGCTCCCTGGTGCCGTTCGCCATAATGCTCAGCTTCTTCTTTTTCCAACAGTTCTCCGGGATCTTCGTGGTTATATACAACGCCGTCATAATCATGGATAAGTCGGGTGTTAAAGTAGATCCTTATCTCGGAGCGGTATTGATAGGCGTTGCTCGTTTTATAGCCAGTCTTTTGACGGCCGGGGTGTCCCGGAAATTCGGTCGACGTATACCGTCGATGATTTCCGGCGTTGGGATGACAATCTTTATGGGCGGCCTGTCACTCTATCTGTTTCTAGACGCGAAGGGAACCGTCATGGCAGACAACGGGGTGGTTCCAGTAATTTGCATGGTGATGTATATATTCACAAGCACCTTGGGATACCTGGTAATCCCGTTCGCTATGGTAGGCGAGGTGTATCCGCCAAAAGTTAAAGATATATTGTCCGGTTCGACGGTTGCCATAGGTTATCTCTTCAGTGCGGTAACCATCAAGACGTATCCGGATATGGAGTCGCTGATGGGCATGCACGGCGTGTTTCTCTTCTTCGCGATCGTGTCTTTAGTCGGCACAATATTCATTCTATTATTCTTGCCCGAAACAAAGGGAAAGACCCTGCGTGAAATCGAGGACATGTTCGCGACGAAAAAGAAGTCCATCGAATTGCAGTCTCCGACGGAAGGAATAATAGTCGGAGAAATAGTCGCTCCGACCTCCGCTGGTCTTTTAAGAAATTAAGAATATTTATTGCTTATGCGGGCAAATAACCGTCAAGAATAGATAATACTAATTGCATAGAGGAAGACGAGGTCAAAGCGTACGATTGTACGATTATTAATTACACGGCCGATGGAAGAAATGAAACGGATGCAAAAGTCTTTCTGTGATGCTTCAAGGTATCTCTTAAAAGATATTTAAGGGGTATAACGAAGTAATAAGATATCTCTTAAAATTATTTTAAATACGTCATACGTAAAGATCTTTTTATCATATCATATATTTTGTAAACGATTGAAGAAGATAAAAGTAAAGATATTTGTTTAGGGCTCACGAAGAGAAGTAAAACGTAACACAATGGAACTGTGTTGTTATCTCGATAAAAGTTTTGCCATCAAAACGAAAACAATGCCATATATCAATACTTATTTCTACACGTGCAAAATGTGTTCGCAAATTACATTAAAATAAGATTAGGTTTGTACTAGTTTGAGACAAGAGATATGCAATCTCGAAGATGATATTTTGATAAGACAATACACATTACGTATTATTTAATTAGAACTCAGTACTTATTGTTCAATAGTTGGAGCATAGCCGGAGATCTTCAAAATACAGTCCAAATTTATCATCATTTTAAATAGTTTTAAAGATTTCCTGTTACTAGAAGGAAGATTAAATATCATCATGGACGGTATCTCTGAAGATCTTCTAAAGAAAAAGATATTGTGTAAAATCGATTACGTTTTATCGATCATACGTATAATTAATTAAATATAAGACTTATCATTAATAAATTATATTACTACTCAACAATTTAAACAATTGTGAATACAAAATTGTGAATAAAGGCACATAGCTTATTTAAGCGCTAAATGAGCGAGAAACTTATCACTAGTTTATTTCTCGTAAATTGTGTTCTCGCAAATAATTAACACGTTAAGTGTGATAAAGTCGACAGTTGGCATCGTGATAACGTCCGAGTCTCGACCCGATAACAGTATAGAAAGGAGTTTCATATTTACGTGTTTCATAAATTCGTTATTATTTATTTAAGAATATTTTGTCATTGCGATAATAATCGAGATTTCCTCCGCGATTAAGTTGTCACTTTGTGACAATTGTCTTTTACAATTACGAATCACTTTTCTTTGTATAGAGTGTAGAGTATTTTCCGCGGAGAAATTGACAGCGTGATGATATCGACGAAAACTTATTTAAGCTATCGAACATAAAGTATTTTATATATAGTTCATCAACTCTCTCATCGCGCAACTAATTGATGAATTAATTTATAATTAGTTATGTGAATTATTTAAGTTATACTAAACCTATATGTATATTATCGCAATATTATACATTTATGCTGATATAAAAATACGTACACATATATAATACACACATATATTATATATATATATATATATATATGTACGTCTCATGTATTAAAATCTTGTTAAAATCTTAAATAATAAATTAACAAAAATACGTAACAACGGCGATAATTAAATAACAAACACAAAATAATATACAACTTACGAAGTGTGAAAGCGCGGGATATATTTGTATAAGCGTGGGAGAAACGAGGCGAGAAAGGATAAGGCGACGATAGGGCGACGATTAACATGATTACTGACAATATTTGATAATAATAATAAAAAGCGATAATAATATAAAATAATTATATATGTAATAATAACATAATATTCTAATAAATGTTAATGATAATCAAAATAAATTATTATTTGCTAGGTGGTACGAGAAGAAAAATATTACTCTGTCGAGAATAATTATTATTATATGTAGTATTATTTTAATAAAAAATGCAAACATTTCGGAAACAATGTCAAATTTTCTCGTATTACTTTAATGTTCTAATTCTTTCTTTAATCACTTTTTCTGCTCCCGTACTCCTAGATTACTCTTCAAGATTACTTCGCACCACCTCATGTCATGAAATATGACGAAGACTGTGAAATACGTGCATAATGATTTAACAACACGAAAAGTCGTTTAGTATGCCAAGAAGAAGAAGAAGAAATAAAAATGCGATGCTACACTGTACAAAAACGTATGTTACGCAAAATGCACATTTCGCATTTCTCTTTATATGCAAGTAAAAATAAAATCTTAGACCTTCGAGTTAAAAAATGCAAAATTAGAATCTTTTGCAAAACTCACTTTTGCGAAAGGATTCTAAATCATATACACAAAAAGTGCATATTTCTTATCAAGCATTTAAATAATACGATTTTAAACTCGAAGGAATTATCAATTAACTTTACTCTTCTTCTTCATCGATTATTCAAGCATCAAAGTTATATGCGTGAATCGTCCGGACTTGGCCCTGGCATTTCCTTAATGTGATAACTTTAAACTTTTAATGTCAATTCACGAGATCTTATTTTCTAAACGAGTAGTCACTAAATAATAGGCGATGCATGATGTTCTATTTAAAACAATTTTTGTTCATGGTCGGGACTTAATGTCAACCTACTTTGTCACAAAAATATTATAAATTAAGCTTCATATATGATAATTTTTGTTAAATTATGTAACTCGATTAAATCAAAGTAAAAAAGAGAAACTCTATAAAATGTAAAATAATTAACCAATATTTTAACTAACGAAACTGGGCTCCGCGTGTATTCGTGCCTAGGGCATGAGTCGAGAAACGATCCAATTAGCTATCTTAACGATCTAGTAATGTCAGTAAAGCTCTGTTAGCGTCGGAGATCGAATACTCTCCACTCGTTCTCATATCTAACCCTCCCTACGTAAGTAAAGCTTCGTTGGAGTCAAAAGCCTCTTTCTAGCTGCTGGTCCTGACTTAACGTTAATTAATGCGTAACGTTAATAAAAACTCCGCCGATGTGCAAAACGCTTGTCTTGCGCTCTCAATTGCTATGAAACGTTAAATTAAATATCTCGAACCGTTTTTTCAAACTTGCCTTCCGCTCAAATCCAATCGGTCTCTTTGATCGCTGATATTCCGCGTAATCGGCGAAGTCTTCAAGAGCCCAGCCCGTGGTCGAATCATTGACAAGAAATCAAAATCGTGCTTCGATTTCATCGATTCGACAGGATTCATATTGTTTCTCATTGTCGGCGCGTTTTTTATCCATTATATTATCGTCTCTCGAAACGAAATTTGAACGTACTTTCCGGAAGTGCCAGATTGCCGATAGGAACTTTGTAAAGCTCCTTTTCTACCGGTAATATGTTGAAGTTCTTTAGCAGAGTGGCTATTGTCGAGAAGCTGATATATTGGACCATTTTGTAGCCCATGCAAGATCTTCGGCCACCCCCAAACGGCAGGAAATGTTCCGGCTTCAACAGTTTGCCATTCTGCACGAATCTCTGCGGCATAAACTCCTCGGGAGAGGTCCACAACTCATTCGACATATTTAGATCATAGTTGTTCAGAAAGATAAACGTGTCCTTCTCTATCTTGTAGCCTAGAATAAAAATTCAGGATTCAAATAAAATCAACGATGAACTGTCACAATTTTGATTATATTAATTAAAAAGATTTACAATTGCTCGCAGTTTCGTAAAGTTCTTTAAATTACAAAAACTCTCAACGCTAAGCAAGAACTACGTGATATCCATTTTAATATCATAAGAAAGAAAAAATTACTTACCGGCTATGGAACTATCTTGGTTGGCGACGTGCGGCACGATCGGACTGGCGATCAACCTGATCGCTTCGAGAATGATAGCTTCCGTATACGGCATGTTTCCTCTGTTCTCCAGCCCGACAAACTTGCCCGGGATCTCAATTCCATCAATTTCCATCTGCGCTACTTTCTGTACGTGCGGCCGAGTAACCAGGTAGCCCAGGATCTTGACGAGGAGATTGCCGACCGCCGAATGACCGCCGACGATGTCTTCCAGCGCGAACAACGCCATGTCCCAAGTCATTTTAGGTTCACCGTCGGTTTTGATGTGATTTATCAAGCAGTCCACGTAATCTTCTTCAGGTATGACCGACCTCCAGCTAGCTAGACGGTCCCCGATTATATTCTCCTCGACGAACATCCTGATCTCGTGACTCCAATTCGCCATCCTTGTCATGTTACGCTGATGCAGCGGCATCAGAAACGGCATAAAATCTGCGGCGTATCCTTGGTTCACCTCATAGAAGACTTTGTCGAAGTTCTCGATCATCTCGCGGAAGGGACCATGGCCGAGGCCAAAACGTCGCGAACAGAAGTACTTGATGAAGATGTTCGCGCACGTATGCATGATCAGCGGTTTGGCGTGCAGGCTAATACCAGAGATGCCGGTCAGGTGATTAATCAGCCAGTCTACCTCCCCGCCGATGATCCCATTTAACTGGTTGTATCGCGTGGTGAAGGCGCGCGGGAAGGTATGCCCTCGCAACATCTCCCTTCGCGTCTTCTGAACATCCGACCAATTGCAGAATGCCAAAGCTGTAAAAAAAAAGAAAGAGTGATTTAATCGTTATTCCGCTTCAAATTCTCAGTTGACATCGATATTGAAATCGCTTTATTAAAAATTCGCGCATTTTAATTTATTTCGCTGAAAGATATATTTAAAGAATATTTGAAATAACCGTCTTTTTCTTCTTCTTTTTTTTTATTTAAGACAAACTCAAGACATTTTTCAATGCGGCATCAATTAGTTTTGCTTTCATCACATCGCAATTTATATATAGTAACTCGCAACGGAAACAGCTGACGTCGGGACGCCCGCGCCGCGCCGTGATGCTAAACGTATATATTCCACGAATGTATCGCGGCTCAAATTACTAAATCGAGAAAAGGACAATCAGCACGATTGGCAGCAACGTTGAACTTGGCCTTGTAACCGTCCTAGTGCGCGTAACATCGCGTTTCGAAACATCATCGTTTTGCAAGAGAAAAATTCGCACACGCTCCCTTATTTCTACTTCGTACACCTTCGCGCGCCACTGCGTACGCGGAAATGTAATACGAACGCAGCTAGACGAATGCGGCATCAATTCCCCAGCGGACACGACTCAGGCAGAAAATCGACTCGTCGTTCAGCGCGTTTGATATGAAATCGAAGCAGGAGAAGAAACAGCAGCAGGAAGTGACCCGGTTTCTCGCCATGCAGGGCGCCCGAGAATCTGAAGAGCGACAGCTCCTCCCTCCACTTGTCTTTCTGTGATAATCTGGCAAACGTTATATCGGCATAAACAAAATAAAATACATTTCAGAACAAATTTTTAAAGTTTTCTACAGCAAATATTTTATATAGTCAGAAATGTATTGCAGATTTATGAATAACAAACGATTGAATGAAACACGTATTAGATGTGTAACGAGAGTTAAATTAGAATATCATGTGCAAACATTAAGAAAAATCAGTGTGGAAAAACATTATTAATTTATTGCGTGTGACGAAAAAAATCAGGGATTAAGTAGCTAATAATAATATTCATTCTACAAACAAGAAATTTTATATAGAGGTGACCGTATTAAGAGCTGCCGGCGCTTGTGACGTGCGTGCGAAAATAAAATACTCCGCTGCGGCGCGTATACGTGCGTGCAATGGAAAGGGTTAATGCGATCGTCTTGGATCGCGAGGCACGGCGGCGGCGATTCTGATGGATCAGCCTTGATCCTATTTGCCGGCTGCCGGGTAAGCCAGGAACGCGTGAAAGTGGTACCGCGACCTTTTCCGCCTGCACTTGATACCGCTTCTTACGCTGACCTTAGCACGAGTTTCGGCGCGGACGAGCATGAAATATACGCGACAAGTAAATCATGCATCGTGCATAAGATACGTGTATAGTGAGTCTGAGTATACGCGCGCATATGTGCACTCACGTGTCTCGCGCGCGCGCGACGCATGACAAGGTCGTTAGCATGCGATTTTTCGGGAGCTCCCGAACGAGGTGCTAACAAATCACAGGCCAACACTATATCGATGATTCACGAATGATTCACGACCGATGAACAATAAATCACAATCGGAATTTCTGATCTCCATGTCGGATGTGCGATCGGAAAACATGCTCGCAACGTGACCCAAACTGCTGAGACAGTGATTCGTTGCGATTGCGTGTGCGTGTAATCTATGTTTTGACGAGCGATCTAAGAGTGTTAATTAACCACGTGGGTCATTCCTATTCGATTTATTAATTATTTATATAAATATTCGTAGGAAAACAAATCATCCAGAAAACTGCTTTAAATGTATAAGTTGTAAACCTACCCCACAATTTTTTAACCATAAATTCTTGATATTAATCTAACATATTACAATTTTAAAAAATAGAACTAATTTTGTGTGAATTAATCTTCGGTGAAAAACTGGCGGTGATAATAAAGTAGGAATAAAATACTTACAGTTCTCCTTGTTGCCACAGAAGAGAAGATGATATCTAATAAAGTTTGGCCTGGAGTCGAAGTGATGGCCCTTGGTGATCAAGACTTCCTTGATGTTCTCCAATCCATTGACGACGACGCAAGGTAGCGATCCCATCTTGATCTTGATCACTTGGCTGTTGTAGGCCTTGACGAGGTCGCCGAAGACCTTGTAAGGCACGTCATAGCGTCCCAAAATATGAAGAGAGCCTAGAACTGGCCATGGCTTTGGTCCAGGTGGGTCTAGTAAGTCGGCTAACTCTTCGCCGTCATATAATTTCTTCGGCTTTTTCTTCGACGTGACATAGTCCATCAGGATCAAGACCAAGGCTATCAGAATGATAGCGAGCAGGAAGTACGTCGTAGCGCTGATAAAAATCATCCTTCGGCACAATCACAAATTTCTTCACTAAAAGAGAATCTTCCGTCTCCTCCTTTTTCTTCCTCTGTACTCCTTTCTTCCCTTTTTTCTGTCAATCTGGAAGAATGTTCCCTGATGCTTCTTAATGTTCCAATAGATATATTTCCGAGACGTGCCGTTCGAATTCGAGTTATCTGATTCCAGAACTTCGATTTATACCCTTTCTGCGGGGATATAAATTCTTTTTTAAATCAAAGCACGCGTTGGTTTTGATAATTGAGCTACTTCTGCCGATATCTTCGATAAGACGATTTTTTCAACTCTTAGTAGTTTCTTGCTCACTTCGCCAGAAATGTTAACAATAGTCGGCTCTTCCACAAGACGGCTCTTCTCGTGATGTAAACGTGATGTCTTCACCGCGAATGAGTATCGGCCGATCGGGACGCAAGATCCTTGTGGCCCGTCTGTGAACGGTCCGCCGATCTGACTCGGTCTGTGGGGATAGGATGGTTGTCCGGCTATCTTATATAGTCGGGCGTAATGTAGTCAGCACATTTGCGTCGAGCACTGTGCGCCTCAACCCCATACATATGGATTCTCGCGTTGAGACAAGATGGGCAACAGGAGAAGGAAGGGCAAGAGGAGGAGACGGTGGTGGTGGCGATAGAGGTGGAAAAAGACGAGAAAGAGGAGGAGGAGGAGGTGGTGGTGGACATTCTCGTATGCTTAAACAGAGACGAATTTCAAGAAAACTTGAAGGGACATACTCACTCGCGTATGAGTTGGTAGGGTCCGCAGCTCGCAGAGCTGAGGGAGAAGGGCCGGAGAGAAGCAGACACGGCGGCGGAGGGATGATCGCGGGTCCGCCGGGTAAAGGGGGAGAGGAAAAGGGCCCCGGAGGCGGTGGAGCAAAGAGTAAACCTACGTAGTGGTAGGGACGGGTGCTAGAGGAGAAGGTGGGGAGAGGAATCGCCGGTAGGGTCCGCGGCCTCCTGGGCCCAGGCAGTGCAAACGAAGGGACGCTTCTTGCCCTTGACTTCTCTCCTTAAGGTGCCATCGAGTTTTCTGGCAGCGAAGATGGTAGTGTGCGAGCGTATGCTACGCGTACTCGCAGCTGCGCCGAGACCGACTCGATCGCCGGTACCACCCGATGTACTCGCGGCGATGTACCCGAGACGAATGTCGAAGTCGGTGATCAATGGTAATTCGCTTTTGGTACACCACAAGGTACGTGGATGGAGAACAAAGTTACCTTTTTCACCTTTAGTGGCCGGCTGGCCGGTTCGACATGGCATTTTCGAACTCTTTAAGAAGCTATGCGAGAACGGAATCGCGCAACAAAAAGGTAGATTATGGTTTCCCTGTGCGTTGAGAAAAAAGATGAAAGAGATCCGCAATTTTTCGTTTTCGTCATCAAATCTCAATCGTATAAATTATACATTTATTCTTAAGATTGAATAAATTATTTATCACTATCATTTTCAATGGGGAACACATATCACGCCGTAATAAAGGATAAAATAGACACTATAGACAGTATCTCGCATTTAAGAGATTACTTCATTATCCGTTTTAACACTGTAAAGTCAGCTATAAATACTTTATTATATGTGTAGCGATAATCTTTTTTGCAAAACTTTTCCTCCGCGTTGCCACACTTTAAAATGGCAGACTCTGTTTACGTCTGGAACGACTTTTCTCACCGAGAAAAATAAATCGATCGATCTTGAATCTGAAATCCGTCTCAGAAGGATGCTGAATGGCGTTATGTAATCGTGAGACAACTATGCGAATGCGTTTTGTTCGTCGAGAAGGAAGTGAAATATACAATTCTAATGATGTCTTCTTTTCCTTTCATCCATATTAATTTAGTTTACAACCGTAAACATTGTTTACGCGGGAAACAAGCGGGTTTCGCCGGCGAATTTTCCTTAGAATAATGGAAAAGATGAGTAATACACGTATATACATTTGCGTAATTACAACAATGAAGAGAAAAGACATACAAGAATTAAAATTCTTATTCTGAAGATGTTTGAGATTAACATCGCAGAGCATTTCTTATTTTGGATGGATAAAAAACAGAATAAGATTTGTAAGATTGTTCTACAGAAAAACATAGCCCGTGCAATCTGTGCTCATCACATCGATATTGAGAATTTACGCGTTTTTTTTTTTTGCACAATTCATAAATGAAATCAAGGCGGATTTTACAAAAATTGTTTCCTGATTAAATACGTATATTAACTATAGGACTCGCGACAAATATGTGAGTTAAATGTAAATCCAACCGGAGAAATGCGTAATTTTGATGAGAAAGAAGGATACATCTCTCGAATTCGTTCGAATTAATGAATAAAGCATGAGAGAGAGAGAGAGAGTTATGGTGGTGCATATGTGCCCCTATCCTCCGCTGGATCCTCTCGCTGCCCCCGTCCTCCGCGGGGATCGTATGGCACACACGGTCCCCCACCGGTCAGTGCCGCGGTTTTTTTCCCTCTCACTCGCCGAGACAGTAGAGAGATTACTTCATCCGTATCGAGTCGTATTATCGAGAGTCGATTTCTGGGAAGCTAGCGGTACCGGCCTCTCTGCCCGTCGCCGCCACCAGCTCGCCAAATCAACTCTAGAGACGAGGCGCATAACGGGAAAGCCCTCTCTTCTCCGTTTGCGAGTCATGGCCGGAAGCTTGCCGCCGCTGTCGTCGTCGTCCTCCTTCTCCTCAACGTCGTCGTCGTCGTTCCCATCATCGTCGGGACGATTTTTCATTTCGCTTTCGTACGCGATCCCTCTCGTAGCGGAAGAATCTGTTCGAAGCACGCGTCACTTCTCATGATTTCTATACGTGAGGATATGCAATGGCATTCAGGAGGAAATGACAATTTAAGAATTTCGGTAATTCAAAAATTTAAAATCTCTTATTTTTCCGCATTCTTGATTCGACAAATATTAATAAAGATGATAACATTTATATTTAATGTGTATTTTATATAAGTATATTATATATATATATACTTTATAAATATATAAAAGAAAAATACTGAATACATCTGATTACTGCAATAAATTGTCTCACTAAAAACCGAAATAAGATTGAATCATAAATATAATTATTACGAAGAGAGAAGAAGTAAAACTGAAGAAAGTGAAATAAGCAGCGCGACACACTTTTCAAGTACTCGACAGCAATGAAGGACGAATTGAAATAACACGATTACACATGGTGTGAATTCATATTCCTTACCATGCTTACTTACATATTTGAATAATTAAGAAACGCCAAAATGACGAATCAGTATAAAAAGTATTCTTAAATTTTTAATTAAAAAAGATCGGTCCAAGATATTGTCTTAAGCTGCGGAAAAAGCTGTATTGTTTTCGATCCGTCAATTTTCATCACATCATTGATCTTGATTCGCGGTAAATCTTTGATGATGTATTCTCCTTGGGGCGACGCAATGCATGGCCAAGATTCGTGTTTGAGGTTTATTTCTGGTTGATTTTGATGGTCGCATGGCCGATCTGGCCGATCTGGCAGATAGATGCGTCGACGATAAAAAGTGTGGCAGATATATTCCGAGACGGCCGGTACGAAGGCAACCAGCACCGAAAATCAAGGTTATCCGGATTAGCAATGAATAAGATTGGCGGCGGGACGCGCGGTGATGGTCGCCTGCCTTGCAGCCCGCTCGTCCTTTTGCCTGGATTTGTAGGACAGTTGAGGATAGCGGAGGATAGCTCCGAGGACCGCCACACGAACGGAACACCGTCTGGTTGACGTGCTGAAAAATCCATCGCTTCCACCCTCGGTGTCATTTATTTCTCGATGTTTTTACACGTCGCACGCAGAACGCAGATAAAATTCTTCGTCCTTCTCTAAGGCTCAAGAGCACAACATCGACCACTCGATTACGACATGCCTTTGATTTATCTGCGTCCTATTCGAGGACCTCTCACATCGTCACGAAATAAACATGACCCAAAGAAATTTTCGCATTATTCGTAACTGTGCCACGTGCTTACTCAAGGACAAGGTCTTTCTAAATCTAAGCTATTATAGTAGAGCTATCGAATAATTCCGTTTATACTTGAATTCCAATTTTACCGTGTCTGCGAGAGACTATTTGATAACTTCTCTATAAAATAAAAAAATATTGTATTCTATCAACGTCGACCAGCGGTTATGCCATTCAGTTACCAAGCCGGGTCAATAAATTCGCATGGAAAACTCGTCCAAAAATGTACGCAGGCAGATGTATAGTCGATAGGTGGGAAGCGCGAGCTGCTGGAAGACGGAGGCATGCAAATTAACAGAATCGACGCTGAGTCGGCCGAATCGCATTTAGACAGACGGCAAGAATCCAATGCGGCTCGACGAGTTGCGTAAGAAATTATTGAAAATGTAACGGGCGTACTCCCTTGCACCCCCTTCTCCGCCGACGCCGCGCGCCGGCAGATCGAGAGCATGCACATGCGAGATATCCCTCCGCGAGGCGCGTCCGCGCTGACACGCTCGATCTGCATGTAGCGGTCGTGCATTGAGCTCTAACGGTCAAGTGAGACGCGCTTTTACATAAGCGCGGATAAGCGGCGTGCATAACGCAACGCGACCAGGAGCGAACGGGAACAGATATCCCGGTCGATGGATATGCCAATTGCAAAATTCGCGACGGATACATTTATGGAGAGACCGGGATCTCCCGTTCGCGCGGCGCAGCGCGGAGTCGCGCGTCCCATGCTCGACTCGACGCCTCGCGCCTTCTGCGCTGCGAATTGTTACGAGACATGCGTTAGACATGCTGATGCCGATCGAAGGTAAAAGTTTTTTACGTCTAGAGTCTCGATCTAGGAACGGGAAGTCCTAAGTTTCTCTTTACATCGACATTTTTTTCTTGCGCGAAATCCTTTTATCATTTCCGCGATGTCGCGCTAAGGCAATTTTAAACGAACGGAATTTCAACTACGAACAGAAATTTGATCCGCGTAATTCAATCGGTTGCAATATTAGTGTCTAATTTCAATCCCGAAAAAAACTGACACCTCGATTTTTTGATGAAAAATTTGACACTTGGATTTTTTGCCACTTCGCTTTTTTGTCAAAAAAGTCGAAGCGTCAGGCCTTTTTTAGGAGACATTGTTAAGAATTTAATTTCGCAACGATCAATATTCATTTTATGAATGTTGCAGAAAATATATGTGAAATGTGGAAAAATAATTTTAAGATTGCATTGTATAAAAAGAGTGTCTACTTTTTAATCTTAGTAATTTCAATGTAAAAATATCGAGGGTAATGTAACTCTTAGTTCGCGCAACAGTCTACCTAGGTCATTACCGAAGCGTCTCGCTCGCCGATCGCAAACGCGGAATCGTTACGTCGAAGCTCTCTCGTAATCGAGCAAATGAATAAGTATTTGGTTCTAGATCGAGCCGGCGCGAATATTAACACCGCTGTAACGGAGCTTCGCCACGAATGGGAGCGAGAAAAAGTGACAACGACAAAGAAGTAG